AAGAAATTAGTGAAAAGAAAAATTCCCATCCACCAGAGAGCCATGGTCCACCAGGATCAATGGCTTGGGGAAGGTCATGGGTTTGGTGAGAGAAGAACCTTTGCCCAGTTCCTCTTGTGCCAAGGCCTGATGTGCCCTTTGTCATTAGAAGAGACACCAGTTCTCTCTGTGGATGCCAATCTAATTTCTTCAAAAGACATCCTCATTTGGACCCTGCGGACAATTTATTGTTGATTAGAGATGGTTCCAGAATGCAAGGGAATGTTTCGTGCTCCTGAGGTAACCTTCTGTGTTAGGGGAGGCTGTAGATGACTTCAGGTCAGCAAGGAGAACTCATACCACAACCAACCACGTGCTGGTTCTTCCTATACCCTTGATAATATCTACCCGCTTAAGGGCTACCTTTGACCTGCACCCAGGAGCATGCACACACTCAAGCACATTATCGCAGAGGATGACGTCTGAAGCAGAGGGGAAACTCAGCAGATATGGAGCATGACACAAGATCTGCCCATGGGCAAGAGGCCTAAGCAATGCCTCCTATTATTCGAGGTCAAGATTTGCATAAGGCAGACTGATTTCTTGTGCCACCAGCCATCTAATCTGAATATATCAAAGATTAAATGACGATAATGCTGTAGTTTCACTTCAAAACACCATCAGCAGAGAACAGGCATTTGCAAACAGGGAGCTTGAACGAGAAGGCACAGATTTCTGCTGGTAAATCAGGAAGGCTTCTTGCTGCTAAACTGTACCTGACATCGCAGCATTGAAGCCTCATAAAATATTGACCTAGGATGTTGCTGCCTTTGTCTTTGAGCATAAGATGAGATGGGATTCCTTCTGAACTTTAGTCTTTGCCTTTCCTCTTGAAAAACACATATATGAGATCTTTATAAATATTAATAAAGATTTGCCCCCGGCATGCACTTCCGGCTCACTCAGTTATGGGGAGCGGTGTGGGCAGAAGAGAACAGTGCAGGCACAGAGCACTCTCTCTAACCTTCCCTTTGGTCCATTCAAAAGTGTCTACAGGCTAACTTTAAAGTCTATCTAAACAAACAACATTCTGAAATAAAAGCACCCTTCTGGTAAAACTCCATTATAAAATATAGACTTCCAGACTCAAAATATTCTTACCTGGAATGTTTATGTAATCAAATGGAATGTTTCACATTAACAGTCATTTCCACTTGGATTAAACTAACCTTAAGTGAAAATGAAAGCTCTAGGCAAATATCTATGTATCCGTGTCTCTATATTTATGACTCTGTGTATCTCATCTGCTCTACTTCAGGCAGATTTTCCATCAAATAAAGATTCAACCCACCTACTGTATACAAGACATGCTATATAGTCATCTTAGGTGGATTCACGGGGCAGAAAATAATGAGAGTTTTTAATGGAGTAGTTCACGAATCAGACTCATCTTAGTTCTGCCTGGCTCCCTTCCACTTCCTCCCGCCCAGACTTCAACAACGTGCTGTATTTCCACCGTCATCCCATCTTCCTGACCCTTTCCAGTGGTCCAAGAATCACTAAACAAATGTGCAAGGCCTGAACTACCACTCAGAGCAATGGCTCCTCCTAGTGGCCTGGCTGAGCCTCATTTGCCATTCGAATAAGGCCTTGCATTTTCAAAGAAAGCAACTAGCGATGATTACCATGGTAATGGTCAAACCATCAGATGAAAAACCGTATGTCAGTTAGCTCTTGTAGGGCAAAGGCAGGTCATTGTCTAGTCATTTTCACCTCAAGGGCCAAACGGCATAATTCCGTTTCTCCCTGTAACCTGAAAAGTGCATGTTGGGTATTTGTGAGTTTCCTCCCTCCAAGCTCTCTACCACTGTCTTGTTGCATTCAGTGATAAAATGTGCATTTAACCCCTCACCCCCACACCCCTGATCTTTCCTCAGGCAAGAATTGTGGGAAGAGCTGTTCCAGACAGACCCACTGTCCTCCTGTCAGGCTTTGCCTCCCATGAGCAGAAGGAATCCAAGCAAGTTTATAATTTCTCCAGCCCTCAGTTTCCCCACCTGTAAAATGGGCACATTTGGAGCAGGTACCTTAGGCTAGAGTGTGAGAGCAGCAGGCTGTTAAGATAGTGCCTGGAGTCCCCTCTGCTACTACCCTAGCACTGCTACTCTTTTCAGGCACATGCTTGTGCATTTCCTTGCCCCCCCCCAATTTTGCATTCTGTACTATTAGAATCTACATGATTCTTTAGCTTACAAGAAAAATCCAAATCCTGGCATGGTGACTCATGCCTGTAACCTCAGCACCCTGGAGGTCAAGGTATAGATTGCCACAAGTTATATGTCAACTTAGACTATATATTGAGATTCTGTCTTGAAAGCAAAGAAAGTGAACTATTTTAATGATCACTGTTACTCATGAAATCCTAAGCAGACATCTCTAAAACAGTCATGGGATAGAATTATACACCAGAGAACACCACCTCTGTACATGATTCCTCACTAACTATTATACAACACATCCGTACTCAAAATGCCTCCAATGAGCAATTTACTGATCATTTAATGTCCTCCAGGTCATCGTGTCCAAAAGCAAGAGAAACACTGTGAACTATGCTGCAGAAGGTGCAGTCATATCTCCACACTTCATTGCTATCCAGGAATGAATCTGAGCCACCACTGATGCCTGATGTGAGGGCTAATTAGCCACACACTAGATGAATCAACACCCAGGTGATTTCGGGTATAAAAATGCCTTTCAACCTAAAGAGGCCAGAGAAGACATCGGAGAACATTGAAGGAAGTAATCCCTGGGAACACTGTGAATAACAGCCCGTGGACCCTTCAATAGAAAGTGGATTTACTCTGCTAAGGATGAAACCCTGTAAGCCTTAATAATCACGTAAGCTGCTCCAGCACAGGACAGGGGCATTAAATCCCTCCCCTCCTCGTCTTACCCACAACCCCTTTCACATTCACAGAGCTCAGTGTACTCTATCACACAAGCCTGTAAACCCATTTCTCTCAAGGGCCAGGGCAAATTCCCTCATTCTCCAGTGAGCTGTTGGGAACTCCTACATCTGGAAGGAGAGCCTGGGCTCAAGGCGCTGAGATTTGTGGTATTACAGCAGTGGTCATTAATGGTTCAAAGAAGTTTCTCTTCCAGTCAGAATGTATTTTATGAAAACTTAAAGTAGGAACAGAGATGCGCTATACACTTCAGTTGCAGTGTTGATTGGGGGAGCAAAGTTGTAGGACTTGCCTGCAGGCCTGCTGACACCCCATTTGCACCCTTGAGAGAGGGACTGCCAATTCTCCTTCTCCTTCTCCTCCACCTCCTCCTCCAACTCCAACTCCTCCTCCCACTCCTTCTCCTAAGATTGATTTCATTATTTATCCATATGTAAGTGCATCTGTGCACCTGTGTGTGTGTGTGCTTGTGGAAGCCAGAAGGGGGCTTCAGATCCCTTGCAGATGGAGTTACAGGCTGCTGTGAGCTACCTGATGTGGGTGCTGCATCAGAACCCACATCCCCTGGAAGACAGCAAGTGCTCTTGACTGCTGAACCACAACCTCAGCCCCAACCTATGGGATTTTAAGTAACAAGCTCTGTCTAGACTTACATAGACTTCGCTACGTCTAACAGAGGAATATAGAAGAATCCACTCTGTTCTGGCCCATAGGAAGGCTAATTTGATGGGATTCTGATAAACTTGTAGTTCTAGTACCAAATAGCAATTTTTGACATAACTTAATGCTTTCTTTTTAGGGTCCATTTTGGTTGTTGTAATAAAATATGACTTGTAGAAGTCCAACATTTTGCTGCTCCTCACAAGTATAATTTCATTTATTAACAGCCTATAATTAAGAAGAAACTGTTAGTTAAACAAATAATCAGCCACACCGAGGTGTAGCAGGGGAGTGGTTACCCTTCCTTGTGTCAGAGGTCCCTATCCTTGTCCAACTGTGTGCATATTGCTTTCCAGTCTTTCCTAATTTTACTAAGATCCTGCTTTCATCAAACCAGGGAGGCTAACATATTTCTGCAAGTTGATGAGCGCACAGAACACTAGGTCCTGGGTCCAGCTATTGCTGTCAGTTCCTGGACTTGCCCCTGAGGAGGATGCCTCCCCACCTTGCTCTTATCTGAAGAGCTTTGGGTACCTGGTGCCTCTGTCCTCAGCGGGATGTGGGGGTCTGGCTGTTACACCTCACCTTGGGATAGAAGAGATGCCTCATTTCCTCTCCAAAAGTCAGAACATTAAGAAGATATTTTCACTGTATTAAAGATATGTACATATATATTCCTCTATGATTGTTGACTCTGTAAGCACAGCACACTGAGCACCTGAAATGAACAGATGTGGTGATTTCTGCATCAGAGATTGTCAGAACACTCTCACATAATGATGTAGCTGACTACATTCCTCATTTGCAGAACACAGGGTGTTCCTTATTGCTGGCAGCTGCCTGTAGCTGCAGCAGCCTAACCCCCAGCTCACTGGAGTAGCCAGGAACTGCAGACTGATCCTTAGCTGAGCTGTGACTGAGAAAACAAAACCAGAACCAAGCCTCCCTCTTCCCTCGGCTGGGATTCGAGAGAAGAGAACCTGACCATCCAGGGCCGTGCCCTGTAACTGGACAAATGACAACCCCAGATACTATGGGACATATGGACATCAGGGATGGATGGTGAACAGAAATCAAACACAAATCAGCCACATCATGCCGGCAACAGATGCCATGTTCAAGCTGTAAGAAAGTGTCCTTGGAAGACAATAACAACACAACTAAGTAGGAACATCTGAATTTTGTTCTAGCTCACACGCCTCAAGTGCTAATATGTCAAGGCATGCCAGTGTTTGTCATTGAGAATTCACAGAAAGATGAGTCCCTACCATATTGCTACTGGTCGCCTGGGATCCAATTTTGGGTTTGACACCTACTCTGAATGGCCCCACACAGGGACATGGCTTACGCTGTGCACACAGAGGAGCATGAGTGCAGCCCAGGGTTTCATCTCACCTTCGGCCTCCCTGATCCTGCGTCCTGCTGCGGACCTGCGCAGCACACTCCTTCCCGAGTTGAAGAGGCTAGCCAGCTCATCCAGGGGGCTGGACAGTGGCCTGCTGTTGGGTGGGCTGTAAGGGCTCGGTGGGGAGAAGGTGGATGAGGCCTTCCTGAGGTCTGCTCGGGCTGTCCTTCCAGGTGAGTATGGGGCCTTGGTGAAAGAGCTGCAAGGACCCAGCACTGGGGCTGAACTGGGCTTGGGCTGTGTCCTGGGCAGGTCAGAGTTAGGCGGCGCTTTCGCTGTGGTAATCAAGACAGAATCTGGTGGGAAGGCGAAGTGTGTGGGTGGCCGGCAGGGTGCAGGGGGCACAGGGGCTGGTCCACAGGGTGCAGGAGGTGGCCCTGGGGGTGGCGGTGGTGTGGAAGGTGGTGAGACTCTACTGGACCCATTAAATACAGCAAAACCAGGGGATGCCAGCTGGTCACTGTCCCCCTTCTGGGCTTTTGAATACTGTGGGGACAAGGGGCTGGAGCCTTCAGATTGCACCGGGTACTTGAGATTGGTCTCCAAGACAGGCAGTTTCTTCACCTCCAAGGGTGTCAGTGGTGACTCATCAGAAGCTGGGGAGCAGGTCACTGGGGTGGGAGGAAAGACCAGGAGTGGTGGCCTGTGGGGAAGCAGATTTGGAAAGGGTGGAGGAATGTCACATGTGTCCTTCAAGGGCTGGCAGGTCCCCTCACTAGACTCTAAGATGATGGCTTTTCGAGTCTCCAAAAGCAGAGGAGGTGAGGCAGGCAGGAAGGTGAGCATCCCTGAGCCACAGCCTTCCTCAGGCAAGACATACTTCATCTCCTCATACACAGACTCGCCCTGGTCTGGGCTGTTAGTCTCAGAGCCTCCTGCCCTGGCTGCGTTGCCCACCATCTCAATATACACAGGCTCAGCACCATCATCATCATAGTCCCCCTGTGGCAATGGCAGGTGCAGAGGAAGCTGCGGTGTACATTGTGGTACTGAGTCAGGCCTGGCCCACTGCACACTCAGTGTCCCTGGAGCCTGATGCCTGCCCACATGGCCCATCACACCAGGAGGCCGTGGTCCCCAGATCTCCTCATAGGAGCCACTGAGCTTCGTGTGGGGACTTCTCTTTGGCTTTCGAGGAGGGATCTTCTTCATGGTGCTGTAATCATCACTGTGAGGTCTAGGTCGTGTCAGGGCTAAGGAAGAAGACAGAGATACAAGGGTCAGTAGGCAATGAGTCCCAGAGAAGCCAGGCCTACATGAGGTTGAGTGACCCTACCCTGGATCATCTTGGTTGTCACCGCCCTATCCTCTGAGTAGAAGAGGCCCCTGGTTTCTGTTCCTTCCACCTTCTAGGACTCTGGAGGGGGACCTAGATGCCTGAGACTACTAATGGAAACTTTGTGAGTCTTGGTGCCAGGAGCACAGGCTACACACTGAGGAGGACAGCCCACAGAGAGGGAATTCCAGCAGATGCATGAGGGTGAGACGCTACTCTCCAGGGTGACAGCACCTGGTGGTTTGAGATGTGTACAAATGAATGGTGGTGTCCAACTGTAATTGTGTAAGATGTCTAGGCCATCCTGAGTCTCAGTGTGGACACACATGGCACAGGAAAGTCATTGCTTCAGAAGCAGACCATAGCTAATGGGTATGGGCAAAGTGTTTTGCTGTGTTCTGGCAACCTGTGTTCATGTCACAATGGAAATGGCATAGCATTGGTTGGTTTTCTACCTCCATGGCTGTCTTTGCATGATGGTATAATATAAGGCCTCCTCTGCCACACACACATACAACTACTATAAACAGGAGGTGTTAACTCCCCAGCTCCCAATGAATAAGCATCAGTCCAACCCACGAGGGCTGACCCACAGCACCCCTGAGGTTCCCCCAGACAGTCTTGGAAGCCACTTGGTTCAATACTACTGCAGAGTCACTTCCCAGACACTGACATCAGCAGATTTGAATCAGGAAGCATTTTCCCCAGCTGGCTTCTGAGTGGGAGAGTCTCTGGCCATCCCAGAGAGAGATGTTGACAGGGTGATATTGAGAGGATCCTGCTTTCTGAGGCTGGGCCATGGCAGTGCAGCTTCTGCCTGGTTCCTATTTAGGAAGGAGCCGTATTCACTCATTGAATGAATCCTGACTTCATCGAGGAGTTGTGGACACAGTAGCCCCTCTCTGGGATGTGTGGAGAGGACAGAGACACCATGTGGAGAGGAAAAAGATGCTTCAAGGAGGGAGAAGCCTTAGGGAGGGGAAGAATTGAGGTCAGAAGGTTCATCAGACCCAGAAATATGAGCCATGCCTTTAAGAGCCCCAAGTATGAGGACGGCCATGGTCACACTGCAGAGAAGCGCCAGATTCTAGACTCACCGGAGAACACTGCCAACATGCTTGGATCTGAAGTCACAGACTCCTGGGAAGTTGGCTATGAAACCCAAAACATGCCATGCAGATATTGGAACCTGTAAGTGGACTGTGGCTCTGACTGTGACACAGTGACCTCACTTGGGGGGGGTCAGCATTGAAGTGACCCTTAGCAGTGCCTAGTGGCTCTGAGGACACTCTGAGAGGAGTCCAGGGCAGATGCAATGTGGAAGCTGGAGGGAGCCATGCAGAGCTTTACACGGCAGTGAGAGGGCAAATGGAAAATGTCCAGCTGGCTAAGGATGCTGTCAGGTAGGAGACCCAGCTGCTTCTAGGGTCCTTGTACTGTGACAGCGTAGAGATGAGGCAGAGAACTTATTACAAAAAAAGGGTAAGGGCTTTCTCGATTAATGAACCCACCAGCACACCTTAGTATGCTTTGAAGAGGGAGCACTATTCTAGCATGGAGGAGGACTTGGGCCTCCAGGAAACCTGCTCTAAAGTTGGAGCCAAATACACACCAACGTGCTCCATTAAGACTTCAGAGAGACCTGTGGTGCCCTACATTGGTCTCTGGAAAGAAGCAAGGGCACAGGCCTGAGTGTTGTCTCACAGACAGTGAAGAAAGCCCAACACAGGGGAGTTGTGGATATGATTGCTAACTAATGGTGTGTGGTACCCATTGATTCATGAGCAGCTCACAAAGCTTTTAAAGGGACTATGTCCACGCACCCTGAAAATGGTAGAGGCAATGCCCAGAGAAGAGATTCTGAACCCCGGAATTTCATGGGCAGGGATCAGGCTGAGAGGACACTGGCCCTGATGATAAATCATCATCAAGATGAAGCCCTGGAATTCAAAGGGAAACCTGAAGGCTCCAGAGCATCCACTTAAGAAGCAAGGGAGGTGGTAGTGAGGGGCCAGGTCTTTGTTCCCATAGTGGTCCTAGAGACACCAAATGATGGTCTGTCTAGCCAGTGTGGATGGTCGTTTTAGATTACAAGTGTAATGAACCTTGTCCAAATGAACATGAAAAGCATGGCCTTGAAGGGGCCAGGGACTCTTGCTTTGCTTAAGGAAGCTCAGTCCAACCCTTGAGCTTTGGGGGATGCTGGAAGATGGCTTTGGGGGCTTCAGGAGATGTTAACTCTATGGCACATGAGAGGAGAATGAATTTAGTTCAGACTGGGCAGAGGCCTACTTGAGTTTTCCAAAACATTTGCCACAGATTTATTTTCAGTACCATTGTGTCTCCTTTTCCGAACCGGCAAAGGTTGCTGGGACTGTTCTGGTGGATAACGTGACACAGAAGCGATGACCCTTATCTCCTCAGGTTGGCACATAAGAGGTGGCATCTGTCTTCATGCCTCCTCTCTACTGTGAGTTCCCCAGTGCACTGGCTTTCCACATTAACAACAGAAGCCTCCATACCATCAGAGCAGAAGCAGAGGCCAAGTAGAGGTACAGAAACCCTTGGATGCCTCGGCCTCCAACCTAGTCCTGCTTCTAGATCATTTGTGTGGGACCATGACTGGGAAACCCAGACAATCCATGCCTACTGAGACCCAGAGCCTGAGAGACAGAGAACAGCCATAACCTTATTTAAATCACTGTTTGGGTGGGTTGCTAAGCAACAGCAGGAAATGAATGTAGCACCCCTCCAGATGTGCTTCAAAGGCAAAGTCTTTTGCTAGGAGCCTGTTGGGTGAGGCAGCCAAAAACAGGGTTCTGGGGTCTCCCTGCCTGGATCAAAGCTCTATGTGTGGACAATGGGTGGGCGTGGTCATACCTTGCCCCTGGACTTGGCTGCTTTATCTGCGCAGGGCTGTGATGATTTGTCACAGGGTGCTATAAGGATGGGAAACACTGAGAACAGGGCCCCTCGTGTCAGCAAGTGTTCATCCTTTACTTCCATACTCAGCAAGAGATTAGCCTTTGGAAATAGGGATAAGACCTAGACAGTACTCCTTACAGTATGGCTGGGGCTCCAGCAGGGGCCTTGCCTAGAATAAGGCAGTGATTCTGCAGAGAACACAGCTCCATGCTGAGCCCTCTGAATGTTAATTTGGAATTTCTGTGGGCCCGGCTGGGCTGGGAATCTTCATTCTTCATAAGCTAAAATTAGGGAAGCCATAGTTAGAGTATTGAAATTTAGTTTGGTCTTGTGGCTATTCCAGGGTGTGTGATGTGATTATCTTATTTGCAAGTATTGAATGCAAGGACAACTAACATTTACTTATGTCAAGAGTTTCGAAGCTTATGTATAAAATATCACAAGTACTCAACAATGCCAATGGAACAAAGCCTGAAAACAACCCTGGTCACACGGTGGAATATTGGGACTCTTTGATGTCTAACAGGAATTCAGAAGCCACACTGCATTTCCAATCTCAGGAGCTCAGAGACTCCCCGCCTAGGCCAGCAATCCTGAAGTTACATTCAACATGTCCTAAACTCCTGCAGGACAGCAAAGTTACCATACACAAAATACTTCCCTTTGGGGTCTTTGGTGTAAGCATGTTGGTGGCATTTAAGTCACAATTCACACCAGCACAACCTTGTCCTATTATCTCTGAAAGAAAGACACAATCCATGCAAAAATTTAAAGAGGAAAAGGACAGATGATGAGGACTTGCTTAAGAGCTCCCCGATTTACAGCTTTGCCTATGTGGTTTTGCTTCGGCTCACTGCCTCTTGTATTTTTGTTATTGTTCATTTGCTCATCACAGGGTCCATTCTGCATTCATGCTATTTTCTTTTCATATCTATGTGACCTCTGGCTCCTTGGTGACAGAACAGAGTCCCCCTAGTATACCATGAACCTGGGGACCTTGGATTGGGCTTCACAAGACATTCTGAGGCCTGTGCATGGAGCTGATAGCGTCTGCTTGCTAGGTACAAAGAGAAACAGGGCTTGGCTTCACCGACACTGGTGTTGAACCTCATTCCATATTGTGGAGACTTTGGTCTACTTTGAGTCTCCTATCATCACCACCACCTAATCATCCCAGCATGCAGATACCCCTTTCAATAACCACTGCTCAGTCATCTTCTTATTCCACTCACCCTTTCTGAGATTCTCTCCTATGAAATTGTAACACTATTCCCTCGCTCCATCTCAGGTGTCAGGTTGATTGGATGCTGATTCCCCCAGACCCAGCCCAGTGGAAGAGCAAACCAGCTTCCTGCCAGGCTTTGTTCTAGCTCTGACTCTGCATCCAGGGGACATCTACTGCAGACCCTCCACAATGTTCTCTAGCCTCCATTGCTCCCCCCCTTTTTTTTTTCAGGTCTCTTGCACTAGATGCTCCACCCTGCACATGGAGGACACACAGTCTTCTCCCACACCATCTCCTAAAAGTTGTGGTAATACAACTGGTGCATTAAAATAGCAGCCTTTATTTGAGTCAAGAAAAAATTCCTATAAAGACCCTCCTTATCATATTCTTTCCAAAATAAAAAGTGAAATTTTATTTATGTATGTGAGTGTTTGCCTGCATGTATGTATATACACCACACACATGTCTGGTGCCCACAGGTCAGAAGAGGCATCAGCTCCCCTGGAAATGAAGTTACTGATGGTTGTGAGCCATCATGTGAGTTCTGGTAATCACACCTGTGTTCTTGGAAGAAGAGTCAGTGCTCTTCCTCTTTCTTAAAGGCACTAAAGAATGTGACTTTGAAGGGATCTTGGATGTTGCCATTGCTCTAGGTATCTGTCATGGGTCAGAAGCCTGGATCTTTCTTTAAATTGAGTTTGTTTTGCTGTGTTTCTGTATCATTGGATCACTCAGCTCCATATCTCATTCAGATGCTAGGTTTTGGTGCAAGCTTCTCAGACATTTACTCTAGAATCTTCTCCGATTTACCCAACATTACCACCAACTCTTTTTCTCTGCAGCAATGGTCTGGAGCTAAAGCCATCATGAGTTGACTTGATTATTGCCCACCCTTCTCAGTGAGGTTTGCTCCATTTCCATGAAGGACACATGCACTCAGGTAAGTGGTGGTCACACACCATATAATTCATGTGTGCACACTTATCTATAACCTGTTAGATTTGCAAATACTTTGCTTTTCCAATTTGAATACCAGTTACCAGTGAACACTTACAGTAAGTATATGGACCATCGAGAGTTGATAGAGAATAATTGACATTTCCCCTTTCTGTGTAACCATATCCTGACCGACCCGTCCAACAGAGCCCTTTGCTACCTAGTCTCAGAAGTTGCTGAATTTTGTGGCGACCCTCTCTGCATCCATCATTGCACTCACCACAGGAAGAAGTGAGCTTAAACTTTAATTATATCAAGATCAGGAAAGCTTGGTGAATAGTTTCCTCTTTTAAACAGTGAAAAAAAAATTACATGGAGTAGCAACCAACTTTTAGAACTGCTTTGGCTTTGAAGCTTCTAACTCAATGGAGAGGTGGGACCCGAGGTGAAGGAAATGGCATATAAGGAGCTTTCCTCTAAGAGGCTTAAGGATTTGAATATTATTTATATTTAATGATTAAAAAGCTGCTGGCAAGCCAACAATTGGATTTATTGCTATTAAAAAATATATTAGGGCCACTGAGGTGCCATGGGCACTAAGGGAGTGGAACCCAGCACATCAGCGAGCAAGAGAAAGGACACCATGCACCCCCCTCCCCTTGGCTAACCTTCACTGGCTGCATCCTTGGCGGCTGAAAGGCAAGCGCTCACAGCCTCATAGGAAGCACTCAGTCTCGTATTGGGGTCCCTCTTTGGCTTGGGTGGAGGCTGTTTCCGTGGTGATGGGAGGCCAGTGGTGTCATCCATGCTGAATACAGAGTGCAGTGATGGTGACCGGATGGATGGTCCAGCAAGAGCCTGGGCTAGGCTGTCCCCTGCCATGGAGACTGGCACGGAGTTGGAGTGGACATGCCGAGATCCTCCATGGTCTTCAGCTCTTAGGGGGAAACAAAACAGAAACAGCCACAGAATACAAAGGCCCAGATGCCATATCATTCAGGTGACAGCAATGATAAGCCCATTCCCTTGACATAAAGAGAGTTCCTTAGCAGGGAACTTTTTTATCTGGCTTGGTGAAAAATCTGTGTGCAGCTCTTAGCAACCTGCTCACCCAAGGAGAGGTGCCCAGGCCTGTCTGGCCCATGATGGAGCATGGGGGATGTCCATCACAGCTGCTTTTCAGTATTCTCCCAGCAATGCTCCAAATACTTAAAGGACTTCATGTTTCCCATCAGCCATCCCCAGAATGAATTTTTCACAGTCTGATTCTTAAGCAAATCAAAACGGCAGAATTTCAATCTGAATGATAATTTGTAGGAAATCCATCTTAATAGAGAGTTACTGTTGCAGCCAGGGCGGGAAGTTCATCACCATTTCCCCTGGCAGGAAGAAGAGTGTGCTCCACAATGAAGGAGGGAAATTCACAGTCTCTCTCTCTCTCTCCATCTAATCTCACCAGCAATTACTAATTATGTACAGAATTATTATTCTCTCTTTGACTCTGTACAGTCTCCCAATGCCAAGTGAACTTCTGGTATCAGCAAATAACAGACAAATGTTTCTTCACTTGATTTTATATCAGGCAAATAAAAACACATAATCAAATTGAGAAATTGGAGTGACTGGTTAGTTCCAGTAGGGAAAATAATAAATACGATTCAGGAAGTCACTGAAAATGAGTCTTTGTCTGGCTTAATTTTTTTTTTCTTTCCTTTTGCCTTCATGTGTGAGGGTAACCATGTGAGATACTGGTGAGTTCGTTTCCCAGGACTTGCTTCCTATCAGTTTCATAATTATTTCTTTGTGTGTCAGAGCACCAAGAGGGCTGGAAGCCACCAGCATGCGAGCTGGCTGCCCATGAAAAAAATGAAGTCACCAAGGAGGAGAGCAGAGCCACTCAGTGAATAATTTCTTTCCCCTGTAATGTTTAATTACAGATTTATGTACAAAGGAAAATTTTCCTCAGATTTCAATCACTAAAATATTGGAAGCTAATTAGCAAAGACCACATAGCCATTTCCGCTTTAATAACAACAACAACAACAACAACAACAGCAAAGTCACTTGACAGTGATGGCAAGGGAGAGTCATTTTCAGAGAGAAATGAGAAGTTCCTGAGGTGTTTAGGAAAAATTGACAGCTCCCGAGTCACACATTTGTATAGGAGCCCTGTTCTTCCCCTTCCTGGGTGTGTACCTCATATACAGGTGTTTCGATTTATACACCACTTCCATGTTCTCAAAGTGGTGTCTGAATTCTTTGGACGGATTTCTAGAAATTTCTATTAGCCAGTCTCATATGCCTTGCACCTGCATGAGCATGTTAAAATCCCTTGCTAGCTGATTTGATGGCTCAGAGCTTACAGTGAGGCTTCCAGTAACATCAACATGACTGAAGAAGCAGAGATACTTTCTATGGCTGAATTTACCCATGGAGGTCACTGTTCCTGAAGGCGCCACCCAGGAAAAGAAACTCTGAGATTGCTGGGGTATCTTCACTAACACAGTGTTCCCCAACAGGCCTGTTCCCCAACTGTTCTCGTTCAGTTGAGTTTTGGGGGTGAGGGTCACCAGAAGCCCCTGGCTCCTAGGCCCTGTCTCAAAGGTAAGTAAGGTTGCAAACAAGTCTTACCTCTTGCTTCCTTCCTCTTGCTTGCTCTTATGGTAGGAAGCATGGACCTCCTTCCGGACCCTGTCGTGTTCCCTGGCGATGTCAGAAGCATTCTGGATGACCAGGGCATCGTAGGTTTTCAGGGCCATGTCCTCTGTGCTCTGTAAGAAGGTCTTGATGGACGAGACCTCTTGCTGCTTGCTGTTCATTCTCTGAAGTAAGTGTTGGCGTGCCAGAAACCCTCGTATAACTTCACAAAAGAACACAACCCTAGGTCAGAGGGCAGAGCTAAATCTCTTCTTCTTCTTCCCCTCCTTCTCCCTCTCCCCCCTCTCTCATACTCACTGCAAACAAAACACATTCAACCCAGATTAAGAATTTGCTAGAACACCTCAATTTCAAATTGGGGAGTGTTCTGTTTCAATGTCCCCCAGAGTCTCACATGTTTGAATACTTGGTCCCCAGCTGGTGTTGCTAATGGGGAGGGTGAAGAAGCTTCAGGAGGCTAACCATTGCTGGAGGAAAAGTATCGCTACAGTCATGCATGAAAGCTGTACAGCCCAATCCTACTTGCTATTCACTCTCTGCCTCCTGGGCATGGATACAGTGTGATCAGCCTCCTGTCTTATCACTAAAGTTCCATACCCAGATAGATTGTATCCCCTTGGAACTGTGAGATCAAATAAAGCCTTAAGTTACTTTTGCTTGGGTATTTTATAAAATGACATGATGGCCATTCCTTCCCCTAAATGAGGTTTCTAGTGCAAAATTCATAAAAGCTACCTCCACCCTTTTGTTTTCTTTTTGTAACACAAGCTGACATATCCATGAATCACATCAATGAGAAAGACCTAGGTGAGGCTTCCCCTGAACCGTTTTGGAATGCATTGATAGTTGTATCCACCTTGCAGTGAACTTGAAATGGTGGCCACACCTGCTTGGGCATGGCCTCAGGCAGAGGGAAAGGGGAAAGAGGGAAGCTTGAGGCATGGCTTTCCTTTGTGCTTTCTTTCTGGTGGGTCAGCTTATCCTGTAGGAAGGGCAGAGAAATGCTCCCACGTTTCTTTGTAATTTTCTGTGTAACTGTTCCCCAATAAACACCCATGTATCATTTACCTTGGATCTAGTGAAGTAATTACACCCTTGCCTTCAGATAGACTTTCATGATTCTTGGTTATTCAAGAAACAGTCAAGTCTCCATGGGTTAGTATTCAAAATACTTATTCATAATACTCCTAAGATTTTAATGTAATTCTTAGAGAATGACATACCTTGAGATCTAGAGAGGCTTTACAGTAACAATAGGAAATGTGCCCTTCCTGCTTCTCAGAATGGCAGGTTTAGAAGAAATGGGTAAAATCTGGGGAATAATTAACTTAAAATTCAGTGAAACCAATAATTGAACAGCAGGAATTTTGTTGAAGAGAAGAAAAACTCAGAAGGCAGGATCTAAAGGCACATGACCATCTCAGACAGTTAATGCCATTTAATGTGGAAACAATATAACACATAGAGATACGTGTGTTGGTCACAATGATAATGGAATTATTTTCCTTTCCAGTAAACAGGAACAAGGAACTGCAGAGCTCGGGCTCAAATCCCTCTGTGCCTGCTAGACAGCTCCATCCCCCAAGCCTACAGCCCTCTAGATGTGATTTGTGGCCCTCCAGGGGGGACAGAGCAGCAGTAGGGGAAGTCACATGGAAGGGTATTGCAATCAATAGATGAAAGAACTTGCTAACGATTAAGGTGGGGTGGAAGTGGGGGAGAGGCTGCTTTCTGAGAAAGGGAAGTGGCCTTTATCCCTGGCATAGGCAAGGCAGGTGCAAAGGCAGTCCCTGCAGATGCTTGGGGCCAGCACAGACTGCTGACTTCTGACACTAGCCTGTCAGCCCCAGAGAAGCTATCCCTTCAGGCTTCAAATGCCTCAGATTAGAGGAAACTGTGGATTAAAAAGACAGGCAATGTCTGAGAAAAATCACTGAGTGAGACTCCCTCATGCCTGGAAGGCAAGACACATGTGGGCTGTCTCAGAGGCACTGTAAAGTTAAGACACAGCTTTCCCCACTTAAGGGCTTCAAAGAAAAATAAAATAAAATAAAAGATGCAAAGTGTTCCAGCATCCCGAAGGCTTCTCCCTTTAAGTCCAGATGACGGTGCTGAATGGAAAGTTACTTTAGAATGCTGAACTAACCTATAAACAACAAAATGTTAACATTAAAACTGATGTCAGACTTTCAGGAACATAAAATGCAGGGTAAGATAAAGCAGCGTCACCCTGAATATGACCGATGCATGGAGAGGACCGGGGACATTATCTGGGCTGTCCACCTGCTCTTTTCTTGCACTGGACAGAAACAGTCACTGGCCTTTAGGAGCGAAAGGTGGAGACATGGTCCTGGGGCTGAAGCTCTTGCGAGCAAATACAGACTAAGGAGAGCAAATGTCAGACCTCCCAGGATGCCACTTCTGTCCCACAGGAAGGTGACTCCATCCCCTCCCCCTCTCCTACTGGCCAACCTTCTAGAATTCTTTTACAACATCAATGTCAATGGGTCACCAAAAACTGCCATTCTCAACAAAGGACCACAGCAAAACAAGCCTGCTGGAAATAGACAGAGTGGTTTATTTACTACAGATTTTAAAGCCTGCCTCTGCCGCTGGGCCACTGGCTGCTTCATTTAGTTTGTGTTTAAATTTTACTTTTTTTTTCAAATTTAAATGTGAAATTTTCTTTTCTCCATGAATATACTAACAATAGCAAATAATAATAATAAAAATGGAAATATCTCCAGCTTACATAAAATTTGAGTGAATTTAATATCAATTCTAATAGACAAAAAATAAAAATAAATAATAAAATAAAAGAAGACAAAAAAAAAAAAAAAAAAAAAAAAAACTAATGCCCAGTTTCAAAAGTCTATGGTTTCTAATGTGCTTTGTGTGTGTGTGTGTCCATTATTTCATTTATTCAAAATGAAATGATGGTTTTCTTTTCAATGCTATTTTCAAGGCTTCTCTCCACTGTTACCTTCAGAAAGGTGAACCAGCAAAGTTGGCCCCGCCCTCTGCTTCAGGTTGGTTACAGTAGCAACTTAGTCAGTGAGGCTAACTAGAAGAGAGATTTCAAGTAGGCTTCATGTGGAAAGGGGCACAGATTCCTCTAATTTTATTTAAGGATATTTCCCAGGAGCGCCTGGTGCCCTGCTCTGTTCACACATAGTGTTGTGTTAAATGGGGCTTCTTCCTGACCCAGATTCAGCTGTGGCTCAGAGCCAAGTTTGGATTCAGCCTCATGGGGTGGTGCTGAGGCTGTACCTCCAACCAGCCTCCAGTTGAGGCAGCGGGGTGGAGGGATGGAGTGGGTGCAGCAGGCATTACTTGGAGTAGGACAGGGGACAGTTCCAAATAGTCACAGCCAGTATCTCCCCTGCATGGATGGCACAGGGGAGCACTGGTCATAGTCAGAGAGAAGGGGACTGGACCTCCTCAGCCAAAGCCATTATTCCACTAGGCTGGAAAAAGCACCTGAGAGCTTGCTCTGTATCTGCTGCAAGCGGGTGAACACAGAAGGCTGCAGAGTCCCAGCTGTGGCCAAGGGGACACGACACAGCTATGAGGTGTCTGCCAGTGTTTCTCTCCAGGGCAGGGGGAATGTTCAAGGAAGAGATGTCTGCTGAGAGAAGGTGAGCAGTGTCTGTGAGTGGGTGACAAGGGGCTGACCACAGAACTTTGGCCATTGAGCACAGGGAGTCAGAGGGATGATGCTTCCAGGTATGTGAAGAGTACTTGGAGTCAGTCCCAGCCAGGGAGATCAGGGCAGGGTCACAATATGCCCACTGCAGTCCTTGTTGTTGCCTTCCCCCATGCCTTTCCCTGCTTCTTGCTTTTCCCTTTCCCTCCTCCTCCCTCTTCCTCTTCCTCCTCCTCCTTCCTCTGCCCTCTCCCTTTCCTCTTGACCTGGCACAACCCAGAGGTGCCAAAGATAGAGAGACCAGGAAAATACTCTGTGTCATGGGCTGCTCTGAGAGGGGCAGACCAGAAGTGACCAAGAGCGAGGCTTGGGCTCGATGAATGGATTAGAAAAGGTTCTGAACTTCGGCCAAGGTTTCAACTGGATGTGTTAAATTCTGCAAATGGTAGGACTTCTTCATCACCAGAGACTAAGGGGACCTACTGGAGAATTCCCACAAGCCCATGGCCAAACAAGACCCACACAGGAGAGGGGAGAGGGGAGAGCAAAATGGAAGGAAGCTCATATCATTTTTCTAGCATGTTTACCATTTAAAACATTTTCAAACACATACCATTGTGTCACATTGAAATTTGGCACGTGGATTAATTTCTCAGTTGGTAAAGTGGTTACTAGAAAAAACTAAGGTGGAGAGCAATAATAGAAGATACCAGATACTAGCATTGACTTCTGACTTCCATATCTGCACAAGACACATACATACACACACACACACACACACACACACACACACACACACACACACACACACGTACCCCTCTGGCCCCCAATTTTTAAATGTGATGATTATATCCATTTTATGTGAGGAATGGCTGTTTTGTAAAAATGCACATTTTTAGTAGTCAGATTTGGATAGAAAACAAATTCAAAGTGAAATCTGTCCCAAAATTATAATGAGATGGATGCCAACAGCCATAAAAGAAATCACACCAAATATTATCATCACTCCCTGAAGGAAAATAGAGTCAAGGGTTTTCCAAGTCCTAAAGAGAGTTATAGAAAATGCTGTTTGGGCAATTAACTAGTGCTAGCTCTTGGAACCCAGCACAGCTGAGACCTGTACTGGATGCCACAGAGACCTGCCTCACAGCTGCCACCCGGTGCCAGGTGAAGTGTCCCCTTTGCAGATTTCCAGGCACAATCTCACTGCCCTGTGCTTCCTAAAGAGACTAATGTAGCTGACAATCTGCAAGGTACAAAATGCAAAAATAGATATGTTTGTTCCCTCCCTCAAATTGTGACTTACACCTTCTCACATAGAATATAACCAGTAAAACACGAAAGGTCTACAAACATTGGCGCAGAGTAAACTAAGTGGCAAAGCTTCATCAACCCCCCAGGAGTCAGTGTCTGGATGGAGCTTCATCAGGTGGGTTGGGAAGGCCCACAGTGTTGCTGGCACCTACTGACATTTAAACTCAAAGGTGCACTGAATGGTTTGGAAACTCACACCAGGAAGGTCTGAGTGCCTGTGTGTGCTTACCTCTCTGGCAAGTTATGATCTTCCTCTGTACCTGGAGCCACAGGTCATTGAGTTGGTCGACGTGCCAGTACTTCAGGAACACTTTGTGGAATCCCACCTATAACATGAACAGCAGGGTCACATTTCCCAGCAAGAAGGGATGGCAGGGAAATGGTCAGGCAGGAGGGTTTTAGGGCAAAGAACTGGAAATTACAAATAACAAAATTAACCAGGTGTATTCATTTCTTACTTTATTTCATTAAAATTTAAGGCAATTTGTTTCAGGCCATACATTGGCTGTGTGTGTATCATCAACAGTCAGTGTGTGAAAACACTATATACTGCTGACACAGTGGCTGCTCGAGGGAGTTGGCCTTGACTCTGTGTAAGGGTAGTAGTGTTCCCAGTGAACCGTCCCATGCCAGGGCCCCTCATCTCTCAGGGGTGGCTCTCATTTCATACTCTTCGTACCCACAGCTGGGAAGAAGAACACAACAGCAGCACGAAAGACCTCAACCCCACAAAGAAACCAAGACCAAACAAACATGGAGTCACTATTGTGTCATGTGACCTTTCCCCCATAGCATTGTGTATTTCTATGCATGCAGTATTCATGTTTCTGTAGTTATTATAGTAGTTTGAAAGTGATTGGCCTCCATAAGCTCATAGGTAATGGTGCTACTGGGAGGTGTGGTCTTGTTGGAGTAAGTATGTCCCTTTTGGAGGAAGCATGTCACTGTGGAGTGGGCTTTGAGGTCTCATATGTGCTCAAGCTATGCCCAGTAGCCCAGACCACTTTCTGTTGCCTTTGCAACATGGGGTAAAATTCTCAGCTCCTCCAGCACTATGCCTGCCATACTCTCAGGTACCGCCCTCTCTGCCACGATGATTAATATACTAAACCTCTGAAACGGTAAGCCTCAATTAAATGTTTTCTTTTATAAGAGTTTCCATGGTTACAGTGTCTATTCACAGGAATAGAAACCCTGACGAAGACAGTTACTGAACTTCATTCAGCACAATAGAAAAAAAAAAAAAAAAGAACCCACAAAGTAATTCTTGAGCACCTGTTTTATAGATGTGTCCACAAACAGTAGTTGTGCCATGGATCTGACTTGCCACCATTGTGCTTTATAAAAGATTCCAGCATTACATCAAAAACTTCTGTGGAAAGCACTAGAGCCCAATATCTAAGCTTATCCAACTCTACCACTGGCATGTACTACCATTGATAAAAACAGCTGCTGCAAAAACGTCTTAAAGCCAGAATGGCAGGCAACAGCCATGCAATTTTAAAATGAATTCACTGTATGCACTTCTTGTGTAAGAAACCACAGAGTGGAGGAGTGTGTGAGGGTGGTCGTTCACAAAGCACATTTTCGGAGCCATCTGAGGACGCAGATCCTGGGTGCTACTGCTGTGTCCTAGCAGGAAGTTTGCAGTACCGTTCTGCTATATAACAGATATCAAACAACTGCCTCAGCAATTTTCATAATCATGAACTTGGCACTTGAGACAATGATCATTAACATAAGAAGACTAATGTGTGTGCTTCCAAGCATGAATAGGGGACATAAAGGTGACAGCAGCCCAGTCTACACCATACATCATGGCCACACTAGAGGCTGGCACTAGAGTCCATACCATTAGGTATTGGAAGCATTTATGGGTCACATATTGTCTTCAGAATGTTTGGCCAGAGGCTTTTTTGTGCCTTTTCCCCTAGTAACACTACACACATCTGGTGGATTCCAGGTTTCCATTGAAGTCTTCCCTAACTGTGGCCCATTGTTTGACTGGATGACAGTTTGTACAAAATATGACCCTGAGCTTGTTTCCTGTCACCTGGGATGATCAGGCAGGTCAGCAGAGAGACCTCTGGGCTCCCTTCCTAACAGTTCTTGGGTTGAGAAGCCACACATCTTACTTTTTTTCCCCCCAGTCATTTGGAATCTGAGAGAGTCACACAGGGAGGCAGCTTCTAAGCAGTGTCCATTCCCCCCACCCCCTTGTTAAACTGCAATTCTCTTTCCTTCACCATGTCCCATAATTCATGGTCTTTTTATCCTTCTAACTGCAGACTTACTTTGGTAGTGGGCATGAAGAATACTTGGCCCAGTCTCTGAGCTCTGCAGGAGAAGTCTATGAGATGGGCATGGGGAAGAAGGAAGCTACTTCCCTCTGCGTCCCAGTCTCTGGGACTCAACTCATGGTGGGAAATTGAACCCCAAACAAGACAGGAAATCCCCATCCCAAACAACACACAATGGAAGAAGCTTGAAATCCGAGAGAGACCTAGTGCATGGAAGCAGAACATGTGGAGACAATCAGGGAAAGAAAGAGGGAATTCTAACTCCTGCCTTCACAGGATCATGGGCAAGAGGCAGCTGGAGATGAGCTGGCTTCTATTTCCACAATCCATTCAAGAATCCAGAAAAGTGTGTGTGTGTGTGTGTGTGTGTGTGTGTGTGTGTGTGTGTGTGTGTTTGAAATCTGTGCTAGAAGGTTAGAGACAAGTGTAAATTTTGCAAAATAATTTTGGGGCTTTAGATTGAATTTTATAGTTCATTAAAAAAGTCTAGACCATGAATTGTCTTTATGAGTTTGTGCGTATGTAGGTGAGCAAACAGTGCAGATCTATGGATCATTTGGGCTTGGAAAGATTCTGCATTTGATGCTGGTCTGCTGGCCAACTCTCAGTCACCCTTCACAACTGACATCAGGGCTCATTTCCACAGTCAGATTAAAAATCACCTTTCCACTTCCAATGGGGATTTGGTGCCTCCATTTCAAACCTCAGGGACCCAATGGCCAACTCTTCATTCTTATATTAATGAGTACCATGGTTACATCTTCTAAAGGACAGAGATTCACATTCTTGAAGCACAAAGCATTAGGGATGTGGAAGAGGACCAAGTCAGATTAGAAGGAGAAGAAAACAGATGAAGAATTGTAAAGGTTTTGTGTAAGGTGGGTCATGAAAAAAAAAAAAAATAGAGATTGCCTTTGGGCTGTAAACAAGTCCTGAAAGAAACTAAGAACTCAAATCAGGCCCTGAAATCTTCCAGCTCGAATGGTGGAGTCCAAAGGGTGATAGAACGAACCCACATGTACAGATGGAAGTCTGAACTCATATGTAAATAGCCTATGATGATGAGGACAAGATCTTTGTGAAATGGCCAAGTTCTTACCTTCATTCTATTAGAAAGCTTTGAAAAATCCCCCATTCAAAGACTTGGGCAGTCTACAGATTTCCAGAGGACAGAGGACTTTGTAATATTCTGTCAAGTACTGGGCATGGTCTACAGATAACCAAAGATAGTGGACCTGACATTATTTTGTGCTATATAATTAATTTGTGAAGTAGGACTATTGGAGATGTTCTTTGGAAGTCTCAATATTTGTATGACTTTGATAGTCTCTTTGAGTTTTCATAAAAAATAAGTGTCTAAAGTTGTCCATCCCCAAGGGATACCATACAACACTCTGGGTAACACAGGATGTTTTGGCATGTGAACACACAGTGTGATATTTAAATCAGGGCATTCTTATTTTCCCAGGTGTTTATTATTTCTCAGATCCTCTCTTCTGATCTAACAAAATCACTGTGTACAGTCAGTCACTCTGCTGTGTTCCAGAATACCACCTCTCCTCTCTTTTTTTCCTATCTGTTTAGTCTGTCTTCAAAAGATGCTACATTTGCACCAAGTCCTTCTCTAGCAAATGGAATTGGTATGTTTTCAGCATTCTAGAGTTCTTCCAGGGGCACTGTTGAGAATTTAGCCTCTTGCTTTTCATGATTCCAGGGATTAACAAGGTCAGAAGCCTAAAGGCACCCAGCAGGGAAACTTAGACAAGATACCTTGAGTCAGGAAAGCCAGGTATGTACATGGCCAGTACAAGTAAATACCACTACTGACTGTGGAACAGTACCAGCCCAGACTGCCATAGCTGTCCTAGCAAATGGCTGCAGAGGTGTTTGGCATTGAATCTTAAGTCAAGACTTAACAGATTTCAGTTCAGGGACTCAGATCCCTGTGGTGGGTGGTCTGGTCACACTCTGGGCTACAGGGTTGTTTCTCACTAATGAGACACGAGGAGAGGAGAGCTTGGAGGTCCCTTTGTGCACTCCGAGAGGCACAGCACTCTTATCTGAGACTACTGCTCATGTCACCCTGATCCCTGTAAGATCAAGTCATCTGTGAATCACACTGTCAGGAAGCTCCTCAGAAAAACATTAGGATATTTTTGCTTGGAAGTGACAGATTTTAAAGAATTAAACAAGATTGTCATTGATGACTTGCAAATTATTGTTCCAGTTTTTGGGGACTTTTTCAGAAATGTGGGCTGTGGAGACAGATAAACACAGGAACAGAGGTTGGTGGGGTGTAGGTGGCATGGGGGCTGGATTAATATGGGGGTAACAAGGAATCCTGTGAAACTCTCCTTGTTCCTTGAGGGCAATTTTTAGGAGCACAGTGTCTCTGGCAGTACCTTTGAAATAGATCTTATGGAGGAAAAATATGTAACTATTATCCCTGGATAATTCAAGTGAGTCACACTTTTCTCTGCTTTAGTGAAATGAAGAAAATGCATATGGAGCTAATTTTTTGGTTTGGTTTTTTTCAAGACAGGGCATCTCTGTAGCTGTTGAGCCTGTCCTGGAACTTGCTCTGTAGACCAGGCTGGCTGAGGAGAACTCACAGAGATCTACCTGCCTGTGTCTCCCAAGTGCTGGGATTAAAAGTGTCCACTACCACCACCCTGAGAGGAGTTAATCTTACAGTATAGAAAGTTGTATCACCATGAGGGAGGGCCTACGCCCTACCCCAAATGATATAACAGTCTTTGATGATTCCCCCAAGGAAGGCCTCACCCTCTCTGGAGAGTGGATGGGGGTGGGATGGGGGGGTCATGGGGGAAATAGGAGGATGGGAGGGAGAGGGAACTGGGATTGATATGTAAAATAAGATTGTTTCTAATTTAAATAAAAACATATATATATATATATATATATATATATATATATATATATATATATATATGAAAGCTGTATCACCCCTTGCATGTCCACGGACCCCTGTGAACCTGAACAAGACAAATCCATTGTCCGAATTC